GGGCTGGGCTGGGCGGGGGAGAGCTGCCCGGCGCCCCCCGCCCGCACCGGGCACGGTGATGCTCCGCCCGGGACCCACCTGAGTCGCCGCCGCCGGCGGGTCCGTGCGGGGTCCGGGTCCCCCCCGTGGCCGGTGCCCACCGTCCTCATCACACGGGAGGCGGAAGGGGGAGAAGTGACCCCATGTTTCCTCAGCCACCATGATTAACCACTTCGCCATCGCTCAGCCTGGCTGCAGCAAGCGACAACCACTTCCCACCCCTTTTCTTCTCCTCCCCCCGATATCCCATTCCTGGCACACCCATCAAGGATTGCCTATTGGGGATGGGAAAGGGAAGACAGCTCTCCGTAGATCCACCTATTCACTGGGTGTCCGCATATTTGTGCGCCAGGTGTTGGGTTTTCCTCTCTGCTGCATGATAACCAGCTTGGTAGTGGCGCTCGGGTAGTGCTCGGTTCTCGTCCAGATCCGTCACTCTCGTTCGTGTGGAAATGGAGATGTACAAGGCAGGAGGAGTGCTTGGCCTTTTGAGTCTTATTATGCAACTGCTGTTAAACCGATGCTCGAGGCTTGTGTGAAACCTGGGAGTTGAGGCAGTGGCTGGCGTTCCCCAGCTGCTGTTTCGGGTTACCGCTGTTGGATAAAAATGACAATTCGAGTCACCAAGAAAATGCAGACTCCCCCAAATCAGATGGTGATAAAGAATTAAGCCTGAACTCCATTCTCCCCTGCCCCCATATTTCTGTGACTACTCAGTTTTGAAGTCCTTTCTTTATTTCTTCATCCTCTTTCATGTATTTTCTGTAGTTTTGTCTGTGTTACAAAAAGGACACGAAAGATAACAGTGGTACTGAGACTGCCTAATTTTCTGTGTGTCTGATTCTAAAGCTGAGATTGTTCTGCAAGCCTTAGTAGTGACACTGTTCAGTGTGCGTGGAGTTTTTCTTCGTGACAATGGATTTTATGAGAATAATTGACCGTGTTTTGATTATAAACAGCGAGTGTTTCCTGCATGTATTCTCTTGTCCGCTCTCTACCCCGATGCTTTTCCGTGTATATGGAGTGCTGTCTGCTTTTAAAGCCAGGGCTAAAAATATTCTAGAATTAATCTTTTCTCGGGATTATACTGAAATGCTGGTCTTGGACATAGCAGGTGGCTTTGTTGTCAGCAGAAGTTTCAATAGTCAGTTCTGTCGTTTCACAAAGACACTACCACCTTGCTCCTAACACAACTTTTAAAATTATTAAGCTCCAAGGGCCTTGTTTGCCATCATAAATGGTATATGATTGCTTTAACTTGATGCTGGTGAGTAGCTTCTGTTGGAACAAAACTCTTGTCATTAAAGGTATTTTGAAGACAATTTTTGGCACACTCCTTTCACAAGTGGTTTTATGCTAACCACTGCAGCTCACGCTCGGTTTTGTTCCTGCCGATTGCCATTAGAAGGAAGGTGCAGTGCTTATGCATGACCGCACACCCTTTCAGAGGATGGATGATTCACAGGGGGCCAGATGTTTGCACATCTTCACTGACTTTTTGTTCTGTGCCTGGAGAATTTCGAAGGGAGAGCTCCAAACCGGTGGGTTCGGTGTTAGCCGCAGAAGTTCCACAGGAGATTTCGGTAGTATAGATAGAGTGTTGTGATGTAACTAGATCTAACAGATAAATATTGAATCACAGTAGCATGATGATGCCAAGAGCACTGTAGCGAAAACAGGGTGTATCACTGAAAATAGCAGTGGTGGTGTGAAGGGCTGATAGCTGGTTGTGATTACTCAGGCTTTTCCACACAGATGTCAAGTCAGTCCTCTAAAAAAACCCAAACATTTAAAATAAATACACAACTTTCATGTACAATTTATGAGTGGTATTCCTGTTTCTTTGCAATGCTACACAGGTAAATTCCAGGGGGCCAGAGCTGCAGCATCTTTATTTAGCTTACAGATTCTGGGTACCGGCTTTCCTGTCCATAAGAAACTTGAGGAAAGCTGCTGTATATCTGCTTCAAGTTGCTACATATGCAACTGACCAAATATCTTTCAGTGAAACACACGAAATGTCTGCGTGTTCCTGGGATTTGTTATTGATTGTTACAGTGATTTAGTTCTTGGAAATAGCACATCTGGCTCTGGTTTGCATTTAGGACACATGAAATACTAAAATGTGTAATTTATCTTTCCTGAATAGGTAGTTACCACTGTCACTTAGAGTAGTAAAACATATTTTCATAAAGGGTGTGGGAAAGAGGTCTTTGGCTGTAAAATATCTGAGTGTTTAGTCAAAGTCCCATATAGTTTACTAGAGAAACCAGGAGATACTTTCTTGGCTGACAGTAGACAGTCCAATTTGTTGAGACATATTCTGATCTTTAGGATAAGTTTTAAACACTTCTAAATACAATAAAATGATAAGACCAACTTTGAGTAAATGCAGCAATAATAGCTTTTGGTGAGGAACAATTACAGGGCACTAGTATATGAATGAATTGATGGGAATGACAATGATAAACTGTTTATTATGTGACATTTAGTGTGTTTAAGTTCTGCAAGTATGCATTTTTCATTTTTAAGGAGTGTGGGTGGAAAGAAAGGCTAGGAGGGATAGAGAGAAATTTTAGTTCATGTTTTCATTAGAAAAAAATGTTAGGGGAAATCTTACTTTGCATATATTTCCAGTATACCTTTCATTGCTGAAAGCTGTATGAAAATACAAATTGAAATAACAATCCAAATTTCTCATTGAACTTTTTAAAATGGCATTTATGGCAGTAACATTAGTAATATATTTTTACTTAACCAGACATGTTATGTTTGAGGTTATTGTCTTTTCAACTTGGCTGGCACAAACATTTTTCAGCAAGAAATAAATAGAGGATTTCTTTATTAGTCTTCAAAAATGTGTGAACATATCTCAGGATGAGGGATAGTGATGAGAAATATAGGTGTGCCATTTTTTTTGTTTTAAAACTTGCTTCCAGGTGGCTTTGAAGAGATTCTCCCTGTGCATTGGTTGAGAATTACACAGTCTAAAATCTTTAAGGCTGTTACTATGTGGA